ATGAACGGTTTGAATCTTTGGAAACTAGAAAGATAGAGCTTTAATTTGATATATTATATGATAAATTTAGATAACTATAGAACTACAGCCGAACCATTCATTTTATCATCACACACATAAAACTAATTCAATTTTAGTGATGACAAAGGAAAACAAATATTGATATATAGTTTTAATTATATTTGTTATATCTTTTTTTGTTGATATTTTTTTTATGTTACATACATATATCGAAAACAGATTGTTGTTGGATATAAAAATTTTTATTTGTATCACAAATATCATCTGATGTTTGTTGTCGAGCCATGTAGCTTTAGTAAACCATTTATAATATGTCGAATCATTATTATTATCCTTAAAGGAAAACAAATATTGATATGTAGTTTTAATTATAAGTGTTCTATCTCTTTTTGTTGATATCTTTTTATGTTACATACATATAACATGAAAAGAGATTGTTGCTTAATATAACTAATTTCATTTGCTTAACACACGCATTTTGGTTGCCACTGAACAATCAATAGTAAATTGACCATAACTTGCTCGATAAAAATTCAATTGATGAGAGAATTGAATCTTTAGAAATTAGACAGACAATTTTTTTAATTTGATATAGTATAAGCTTATTTTGGATAACCGTAGCACCACTGCCGAGCCATTCCTTTCATCATCACATACATTTCGACTTCCACTAAATAGTCAGTAGTAAATTGACCATAATTGACTCAATAAAAATCCAATTGATGAGAGGTTTGCATCTTTAGAAACTAGACAGACAAGGCTTTAAATTGATATATTATACACTTAATTTGGATAAATTTAGCCCCACTTCCAAACCATTACTTTTATGATCATACACGTTTTAGTTTCCCCTGTTTCTTGATTTTCACTGAACAGTTAGTAGTAAATTAGCTATAACTTGCTTAATAAAAATCCAATATATGAGCGGTTTGAATCTTTGAAAACTTGATAGGTAGGGATTTAATTTTATATATTATACACTTAATTTGGATAATTGTAGCCCCACCTCCAAACCATTCCTTTTATCATCACACACATTTCGGTTTCTACTATACAATTAGTAGTAAATTGACCATAACTTGCTCAATAAAAATCCAATTGATGGGAGGTTTAAATATTTAGAAATTAAACAGATAGGGTTTTAAATTGATATATTATATGCTTAATTTGGATAACTATATCCCCACTGTTGAACCATGCCTTTTATCATCACACACATTTCGGTTTCCCATGTTTCTCAATTTCCACTGAACTATCAATAGTAAATTAGCCATAACTTGCTCAATAAAAATCCAATTGATAAGCGGTTTGAATCTTTGTAAACTAGACAGATGGGGCATTAATTTGATATATCATACGCTTAATTTGGATAACTGTAGCCCCACTTCCAAACCATTCCTTTTATCATCACACACATTTTAATTTTCACTTAATAGTCAGTAGTAAATTGACCATAACTTGCTCAATAAAACTCTAATTGATGAGAGGTTTGAATATTTAGAAACTAAAAATATAGGGATTTAATTTGGTATATTATATACTTAATTTGGATAACTATAGCCCCACTACCGAACCATTCCTTTTATCATCACACATTTTGGTTTCCACTAAACAGTCAGTAGTAAATTGACCATAACCCGCTCAGTAAAACTCTAATTGATGAGAGGTTTGAATATTTAGAAACTACACAGATAGGTCTTTAATTTGATATATTATACATTAATTTGGATAAATATAACCCCACTTCCGAACCATTCCTTTTATCATCACTCATATTTCAGTTTCTTCTATTTCTCGATTTCTATTGAACAATCAGTAGTAAATCGGCTATAACTTATTCAATAAAAATTCAATTGATGAGCGGTTTGAATCTTTGAAAACTAGAAAGATAGAGTTTTAATTTGATATATTATATGATGTATTTGAATAACGATAGACCTACGGTCGAACCATTCTTTTTTATCATCACACACATAAAACCAATTTAATTTAAGTGGTGACAAAGGAAAACAAATATTAATACGCAGTTTTAATTGTATTTGTTTTATCTCTTTTTGTTAAATATCTAATATACTATATATAATATTAAATATATTTATATATATATATAATATATTTATATATATATATATATTTTTTTTTTTTTGTGTTACAACATATATTATGAAAATAGTTTGTTGCTGAATATAACTAATTTCATTTATTTAACAAATATCAACTGATGTTTGATGTTGAACCATGTAGCTTTAGTAAACCATTCATTTTATCATCACACACATTTAGGTTTTCGCTGAACAATTAGTAGTAAATTGACTATAACTTGATCAATAAAACTCCAATTGATGAGAAGTTTGAATATTTAAATATCAACTGATGTTTGATGTTGAACCATGTAGCTTTAGTAAACCATTCATTTTATCATCACACACATTTAGGTTTATACTGAACAATCAGTAGTAAATTCACCATAACTTGTTCGATAAAACTCCAATTGATAACAGGTTTGAATCTTTATAAACTAGACAGACAGGGTTTAATGTGATATATTATACACTTAATTTAGATAACTGTAGCCCCACTGTCGAACACTTCCTTTTATCATTACACATATTTTAGTTTCCACTGAACAATTAGTAGTAAAGTAACCATAACTTTCTCAATAAAAATCCAATTGATGAGAGGTTTGAATCTTTAGAAACTAGACATATATGACTTTAATTTGATATATTATACGATTAATTTTGATAACTTTAGCTCTACTGTAGAACTATTCATTTTATCATCATACACATTTCAGTTTCCACTGAATAGTCAGTAGTAAATTGACTATAACTTGCTTAATAAAAATCAAATTGATGAGAGGTTTGAATCTTTAAAAACTAGACAGACATGACTTTAATTTGATATATTATACGCTTAATTTGGATAGCTATAGCCGCACCATCAAGCCATTCCTTTTATTATCACACACATTTTGGTTTTACCCGTTTCTCGATTTCTATTGAACAATCAGTAGTAAATTAGCTATAACTTGCTTAATAAAAATCCAATTGATGAGCGGTTTGAATCTTTGGAAACTACAAAGATAGGGTTTTAATTTGATATATTATACGATCAATTAGAATAACTATAGACCTGCTATCGAACCATTCATTTTATCATCACACACATAAAATAAATTAAATTTTAGTGATGACAGAGGAAAACAAATATTGATATGTAGTTTTAATTGTATTTGTTCTATCATTTTTTGTTGATTTTGATTTTACAATTATCGTCTTTCTTTATGATGCTATCATCAAATGTTTTTTTGCTATAGGTGGTGGTCAATTTTAATTGCAGCAAATAGATTTGTGTCACAAGACCTTTATCTTTATGGCTTCTTCAATGCTTCAAATAAGTTGCCTTCAGGTTATACTGTTGGAGTTGTTGTTGCTTTCTATGTGAGTTCTCTTCTCAACATTCTTAATTTTTTTTTTAATTTGTAAAATAAAAATAATTCATTTTTTCTTCTCAACAATCAAAATCAGTTTTTTCTTTTGACTTTACAAGTCTCTTGCTTAAAAGTTCACAATTTTTAACGAAGTTTCTTTTTTTCTGATTGATTTGTAAACTTATCAATACTATCCAGTAGGTTATCCTACAATTTTTTTTGCTTTTCTTGACAAAGTTTTAAACTTTGGTTGCAGATTTCAAATGGTGACATATTTGAGAAGAATTATGATGATATAGATTTTGAGTTCAATTTGTGGATATTTTATTTATTGATTTTTTAATTATCAATACAATATAAAATCAACTTCAATATAAAAAATATATATTTAAAAGACAAAAAACCAAAAATAATGTAAAAACAAATATATAATAAACATATCCGCACAATGCAACTTGAAAATGAATATAAGTTACAGAAATTGCAGAAGATTGGTATAAATTTTAAGTTTAAATAGTTGACCTTGATAATATTCAGGTGATCTTAAATATCATATATGATTCACTACAAAATACTGACATCGAATATCAAAGACATGTTTACAAAAATAATATCAATTGTACAATGTGATGATCCTGAAAGTATAATTAGACCATATAATATTCAGGTGATCTTCTCAAGTTAGATAATGATTTAATGACATCTACTTATAATTGATATTAATAATTATACGGGTACAATTATTAATTTTATCTTAATACAACTATGTATATATATATAATTTATATTTACTTTAAAATTTAGATAATTTAATAATTATTATGTCTTAATCCAATTAGTTTATTTTGTTAGAATAAATTTGTTTACAATAAATTTCAAAAACATTGAATGTTGCACATGCCCATGTCTAGTATATATAGAAAGCTTAATACCTCTTTTGGTTATTCGACACGTAAAACATTTTGGAACTCAGTTTAGGACTATAAAATTGTTCCATCTGAACATCTTAGATTGACAAGTAAGATTTATGATTTAATAAGTCCAATCAAATTGCTCCCTCTTGACACGTTGATTTGTACTTATTGCTCCATTTTGTTTGTAATAGATTTGATTGTTAAAGTAAATATAAAAGCTCAACTTAAGGATATTTTTATCAACATATTAATATATTTCATTTCATTTTATTCTCTTAATATTCAAATTTTTTTAAAATATTAATCCTATTTCTCCTTCATTTATTCATATTTCTATTCTCGTTCATTTCCCCTTTTCCTATCTAGTAATGTTATACCTATAATCTCTTTTTACAAACTTTTTTTATAATTTAGATATAGTGGCTCATAATTGATTAGTCCTAATTAATTGGATAGAACATATTATAAATTGACCAATTATAAATAACTACGTTAAGATTACCAGAGAAAATTTGATAGAAAAGTTAGCATCCATGCCATTTTCCTTTCGTACCATTCATTTCACACATGATACACCTTTCGATGTCTTGACTTAGAAAGCGTACAATAGACGCTCAAAGGAAAAGCGTGAGTGCAGAGTGTTTTGGTGATTGAGTTGCCCTATAAATGGCGGGAGCGTGCCCAGTATTGAAATTTCACACGCCGAGTCACCTCTCTGTGTCTGTCAACTTTTTCACTAATTACACTCCAATCCCCCCCAAAACCCATCCCTAATTCTTCACTTCCTTGTTTTTTACACTCTCTTTCCCTCAATCTCTATAAAATTCTCGGATTCTTCAGAAATTAGGGTTTTTTGCTGGGACAAAATCAAAGTATCAGGAGTTTCTGATTCAATGGAGGCCACGGCCGGAGTCGCTGCCACACGCGGCGGTGGTTCTTTGCCGATGCCGTCATCACGCAAGGAGTGGCGTGCCGTTTCTGACCATCATCCTGTTCGAAATGTCAGTGATGAGGTGGTGATATCTCACAATCAATCTTCACATTTGTGTTTTGCTTGGTTGCCAGGAAAATGTATTGAGTTTAGAAAGAAATTGACGTTCTCAAATGTTGTTTTTCCCTTCTAAGAACTAGTATTTGGGTATTAGGAGGATTAGGGTTTATCGCATTTTCTTTATATTTTGTGTTTGCTTGATTTCTATGTGTGTGACAATTTTCGTGGTCTTTGAATCAAAATGCACATGATGCAGTAACTAAGAGTTAGAGTTTAATGTGCTTATATGGTTAAGATTTTTGAGGCATGGGTAGCAAGTAAATTTATGTTCACTTTGATGGAAATGTGACTATTCGTTTGGTTGCTGATAAATTGGGGCTATCGAAATGAAAATTTAATAAATTGGGATTTATGGTTTCTTCTTGTGTTTCTTTATAATTAATTCTAATGAATAGTTATTTGACATAATTATGTCAAATAAGCGCCGATTGAGGTTTTTGTTTTCTAGGGTTCTAATTGAAGGCTTTAATAAATTTGAAGAACATGCGTTTGCTGGTTATTATGAAAGTTTTGAATTTTTCCATCTTTCTTATCTATTAAGTGAGGCACTAGTTTTTTTGAATTTTTTGCTGATTTTTTCTTTTTCATTCATTGGGTAATTGTTGCACAAAGGAACTGGAACAATCAAAATTGGGGCAATCTGATGAGAGAACAATATATGAGGTAAGGATTTTGATATTAGTTTCAACTTTAATTACAAGAATCATGGAAAGTGAACATAAATTGATGTTTGTTTAAGGTGCAGCAAGGAAGAGAGCCAGCTGATGTTGACTTCTGTTCCATCACGGTGGATGGAAATTTGGGTAACGACTTATTACAGCAGCGGCTTCATAGTGTTGCTAGACAAAGAGAAGAGTTGCAACATCTGGAGATTGAGCTTAGAGCTCAAATGATTGCAAGAACTGAGATCATGGAAATGCAAAACAGCTTTGAATCTCAAATTAAGGAGCATTCTAATGCTGCTGCCAAGCTACAGGTTTGTATTTATATTAAAAAAAATCTTTATCATAAATGGGACTTGTTCAGAGTGCAACTTTTGAAGAAGAATTCTTCTTTTAATTTGTGTTCATAAATCATATTTGCAATGTGCCATTTAAAATGGTGCTTTTACAAATAAACTGGCATAATTTGTTTTTCTTGTTGGATGAGACAATTTTTATCTTAAAAGGTGGCTATTTATTTAGGAGTAGATATTAACCTTTACTTCAAACCTTTAATAAATGATGTCTGAAATAGGCTACAAATGACCATTTAGTTTCAGTTCTTATTGCTTCCTTTTTTTTTTTTTTTTTTTTTGTTGGAATGCACTTTAAAATGACAGTTACAAATTTTGATTGCTTCTGAGTTCTGACCTAAATGTGGCTTAACTTGGTTGTGAAGGAGCAACTTCTTGAAAGGGAACAAAACATACATGAATTGGAGAGGAAACTGGAAGAAAAAGAAAGAGAGCTACATGCAATCAAATTAGATAGTGAAGCGGTTTGTTGATTTGGTTGTTTTGCTATTTCATCTTTCTACTTTTGTTGATTGTATGGTAACCATTATCTCTTAACTTATATTATAGGCTTGGGCTAAAGAGGACCTTTTCAGGGAACAGACAAAAGAACTGGCAACTTTCAGGTGTGCTTGTCATTAAGATCTTTGTTTATTCATTCAAGTCTTTTTCTTTTCTTTTATTTTGGTATATCTTTTGTCTTACCTTGAGTCATAGCTGCCTGAGCATAAGTGGGGAAATGGTTGAATAATTGAAAAATTAGATTATTCAGGAATACACATTCAATATTAAGATTACGCAGAGGTTCTATCTGTGTGGGATAAAGTAAAATTTTGGGCTTCTCTTTGGGCATTCTACTACTTCAGAGTTCCAGGAAGATTTTATGCAAATTTGGATTAGGGATTTTTTTATTTTAGTGGTGATTGTTTTGGAATTGGAGATTTGTTTTTTTGTTCAAATCAAGTATTTTCATTAAAAAAAAATTAGTTAATTTCATTTGCTTCGATGCCTCGATAAGTATTAAGCAACTAATAATTTTTAAAATCTATTTGTTGATGTATGTCGGATCTAGACATATGGTAAATAGATTTTCGAAGGTATTGTCCGTTCCAGGTTATAGGGTTCACACGATTTTGTTCTAAGAATGTGTCTTTGGATAGTAAAGGTATATTTATGTTATATAAACGACCAAAGCTCTCGTCACTCTAACTGGTTCATTTGCTTTGGTGTCTCAATAAGTATTAAGCAGTTAATAATTTTTTTTTAAACTATTAAATACTTCTAATTCCACATTTTTATGCTCCTAATTATAAAAGTGCATCTAATGGGGCTCCTATCCTATAATAAAATTTATGGCACAAATAGATAAGGCATAAACAAAGCAAAAATCTAAATTAGAGCCATTAAATTTGTAGTAGGTTATCTCAGCGATGAATTAATTAATTAAATCAATTAATCAGTAAGAAAAGTGGCGACAACGCGCTTAGAAAGCGAGTGATGGACGGTGAGTGAGTGAATCAAAATGATTGTGTTTTATGTTTATCCTGTGTGGGTGTTTGTTTATAATTTATTGGTGAGGGCGTGGCTAATTACAAATACCAACACGTAGGCAGGTGACCTACCTCTCCGATACCGTGGACTAATTGAATGTGGATGTGGACCATGTGGTCTCGTATTTGTACTTCAGGTGGGCTGGGCCAGGGCCGCTAGGCTATATTTTGAGACTTGGACCTACAAGTATAAGAGCCGCATGCATTTTATTGGATTCAAGGTAACAGTACAGGGCGTAATTATGATCAACGGACGAGACTATGATCCTTAAACCCACTAGTATAACGAGTAATTAATTTTGATTATAGTCGAAGTAGATGGATACAAATTATGCCTAGAAATGAAAGACATGGAATCTACAAGTAATGCAACTATGAATCTCGTTAAAAGTTGGATACTAATTCAAGATGAATGATGGTAAGTTTTGTTTTTTAAAAAGAGTATTATTACGCCAACAACCAATTCTTATAAACCTCTCTTATAATTCTAATGTGTCAACATATTAGCATTGTCACTTCACCTCCCACCATACACCTTACCACGGACCCCACCACACCCAAGGCATCAAGCACTACGAAAAACAAGCAGTCGTTCTTGGAGAAGGAATGGTCGTCCCCTATGAAGGATTGGTCAGTTGTTCCTACAAGGAACAACCGTTCCTTCTTTTTCTCTCTTCTATTCTTCTTCTTCTTATTCTCTCTTCTCTTCTCTTCCTCCTCCTCCTCCTCCTCCTGATGAGAAACGGTCATTCCTTCTATAAGAAACGATCATGCCTTTATAAGGAACAATCGTTCCCTATGAAAGGAACGGTTGTTTTTTTGGTCTGGTCAAAATCAGGGAAAGGATTGGCTGTTTCTTTGGTCTAGTCAAAATCATTTCTGTATCAGAGCTGTAGTAGGTTAGGTGCCACGTTAGCGTTGTCAAAGGGGGTTGTTGGCTTCTCTTCTCTTTCTCCTCCTCCTCCTCTTGATGAGAAATGACAATTCCTTCCGTAAGAAACGACCATGCCTTTATAAGAAATGGTTGTTCCCTATGAAAAGAACAATCGTTTTTTTGGTCTAGTCAAAATCATTTCTGTGTTAGAGCCGTTGTAGGTCAAGTGTCACGTCAACGTTGTGAGAGGGGATTGTTGGCGTAACATTATTCTTTTAAAAAGCAAGAATAAGTGACTTAAATTATGATATAAAAGACGCATTTGGTTCAGGGAATGTCGTATTATTATAAATATTATATTAATGAGAAGATATATTACCTTGAAGATTACTGAAAATATTATATTAATTATATTTGGCTATATTAGAATAAACTGCTAAGTATAAATAATTAATATGTTTGCTTGAGATGAATAAAATAATTCTTGGAGAAACTTTTTATTAAATTGCCCTTTTTTTTTTTAAATATTATTATCACATTGTTAAAATATACTATAATAATAATCATGTTATTAATAATATTATTAATTAAGAGTTTGGCATCTCCAATGGTGCTCTTTATTTTTAAAGAGCATATTTCATATAAATAAATAACATTTTCATTAATTTCTAAATATAAAGAACAAAAACATCTTCATTAATTTCTAAATATAAAGAACAAAATTGTTATTCAAATCCATTAGATTCTTTAATCGATGATTTATTTATTTATTTATGTTTTTGTTATTGTTTATAGGTCAAAGATTCATGAATTGACATGGAATAAAGGAAAAATGTCTGATTGACATTGTCAAATAAATTGTTATTTTGATTCGTTCTTCTGAACTGTAAGTATATCTTCTAACTATTTTAATACGAAATTGTAAGTATATCTCCTAATTATTTTAACGGTTATTATTTAGTTGAATGATTGTTTTTGTTTAGTCAATCTATTTGAATGATTAATTGTGTTAGTCCTGCCGAATGGTAAGTGTATTTCTTAACAAATTTAATATGAAGATTAATTAATTTTTGTTAATTTCGTTTTCAGGTAACAGTTGTTATACGAATAAATAATTGTTCCTTAACAATCTTAATAAAGAAATGTTCATATACTTTACTAAGATCAAATCGAGGATGATCCTATTGTCAGCCGAACTGTGAGTATATGTCATATCTATATTAGTAGAAACAGTTCATTTTGTTGAATATGTTTTCTGTAAAAATATTCGTGTATTTTAATTTGTTATATAAATGATTAATCGTTTATGTCCTGCTGATGTGCGAGTATATATGTTAAATGAATTAATTTTGGCCGATTTCATTTTCCAATTAATAGGTGTTATTTGAAATATTTATTATCAGTCTTAACATGATAATCCCTTAAATTTGGGTCAAGTAAACCATTCATTTTATCATCACACACATTTTGGTTTCCACTGAACAATCAGTAGTAAATTGACCATAACTTGCTCAATAAAAATCCAATTGATGAGATAATTGAATCTTTAGAAACTAGACAGATAGTGCTTTAATTTGATATATTATACACTTAATTTGGATAACTGTAGCCCCACTGCCGAACCATTCCTTTCATCATCACACACATTTCGACTTTCACTGAACAGTTAGTAGTAAATTGACCATAACTTGCTCAATAAAAATCTAATTGAGGAGAGGTTTGCATTTTTAAAACCTACATAGATAGGGCTTTTAATTGATATATTATATGCTTAATTTGGATAACTATAGCCCCACTACCGAACCATTTCTTTTATCATCACACATATTTCAGTTTCCCTTGTTTTTCGATTCCACTAAACAGTTAGTAGTATATTGGCCATAACTTGCTCAATAAAAATCCAATTGATGAGTGGTTTAAATATTTGAAAACTAGACAGATAGGACTTTAATTTGATATATTATATGCTTAATTTGGATAATTGTAGCCCCACTACCAAATCATTCATTTTATCATCACACACATTTCAGTTTCCACTGAATAGTCAGTAGTAAATTGACCATAACTTAATCAATAAAACTCCAATTGATGAGAAATTTGAATCTTTAGAAAATAGACAGATAGGGATTTAATTTGGTATATTATATACTTAATTTGGATAACCGCAGTCTCACTTCCAAACCATTGCTTTTATCATCACAAATATTTCAGTTTCCCATGTTTCTTGATTTCCACTAAACAATCAATAATAAATTGGTCATAACGTACTCAATAAAAATCCAATTAATGAGCAATTTGAATATTTGGAAACTAGAAAGATAGAAATTTAATTTGATACATTATACGATTAATTTGGATAACTATAGACCTGTGACCGAACCATTCATTGTATCATCACACATATATAATCAATTCAATTTTAATGATGATAAAGGAAAACAAATATTGATATGTAGTTTTAATTGCATTTGTTCTATCTCTTTTTGTTGATATTTCTTTATGTTACATACATATATCGAAAACAGGCTGTTGTTGGATATAACAAATTTTATTTGTATCACAAATATCATCTAATGTTTGTTGTCAAACCATGTAGCTTTAGTAAACTATTTATAATATTCCAAACCATTATTATTATCCTTAAAGGAAAACAAATATTGATATGTAGTTTTAATTATAATTGTTCTATCTCTTTTTATTGATATTTTTTTATGTTACATACATATACCATAACTTGCTCAATAAAAATCCAATTGATAAGAGGATTGAATATTTAGAAACTAGACATACAGTTCTTTAATTTGATATATTATACGCTTAATTTGGATAACTGTAGCCCCACAGCCGAACCATTCTTTTCATCATCACATATATTTCGACTTCCACTGAACAGTCAGTAGTAAATTGATCATAACTTGCTCAATAAAAATCCAATTGACGAGAGGTTTGAATCTTTAGAAACTAGATAGACAAGCTTTAAATTAATATATTATATGCTTAATTTGGATAACTGTAGCGCTACTGCTGAACCATTCCTTTTATCATCACACATATTTTGGTTTCCCCTGTTTCTTAATTTTCACTGAACAGTCAGTAGTAAATTAGCCATAACTTACTCAATGAAAATCCAATTGATGAGCAGTTTGAATCTTTGAAAACTAGACATATAGGGATTTAATTGGATATATTATACGCTTAATTTAGATAACTGTGGCCCCACTGCCGAATCATTCCTTTTATCATTACACACATTTTGGTTTCCATTGAACAATTAATAGTAAATTGATCATAATCTGTTCAATAAAACTCCAATTGATGAGAGGTTTGAATATTTAGAAACTAGACATACAGGGATTTAATTTGATATATTGTACGCTTAATTTGGATAACTGTAACCCCATTGCCAAACTATTCATTTTATCATTACACATTTTGGTTTTTACTGAACAGTCAATAGTAAATTGATCATAACTTTCTCAATAAAACTCCAATTGATAAGAGGTTTAAATATTTAGAAATTAGACAGATAGGTATTTAATTTGATATGTTATATGCTTAATTTGGATAAAGGTAGCCCCACTTCCAAACTATTCCTTTTATCATCATACACATTTCAGTTTTCCCTGTTTCTCGATTTCCACTAAACAATCAATAGTAAATTGGTCATAACTTACTCAATAAAAATCCAATTAATGAGCGATTTGAATATTTGGAAACTAAAAAGATAGAAATTTAATTTGATATATTATACGATTAATTTGGATAACTATAGACCTGTGGCCGAACCATTCATTCTATTATCACACACATAAAACCAATTCAATTTTAGTGATGACAAAGGAAAACAAATATTGATATGCGGTTTTAATTGTATTTGTTCTATCTCTTTTTGTTGATATTTTTATATGTTACATATCACAAATATCATCTAATGTTTGTTGCCGAACCATGTAGCTTTAGTAAGCCATTTATAATATGCCGAACCATTATTATTATTCTTAAAGGAAAACAAATATTGATATGTAGTTTTAATTGTAATTGTTCTATCTCTTTTTGTTAATATCTTTTTGTGTTACATACATATATCATGAAAAGAGGTTGTTGCTGAATATAACTAATTTCATTTATTTAACAGATATCAAATAATGTTGATGTTGAACCATGTAGCTTTAGTAAACCATTCATTTTATCATCACACATATTTAGGTTTCATTGAATAATTAGTAGTTGATTGATCATAACTTGCTCAATAAAACTCTAATTGATAAGAGGTTTGAATCTTTAGAAACTAGACAGATAGGACTTTAATTTGATATATTATAAGCTTAATTTGGATAACTATAACCCTACTGTCGAACAATTCTTTTTATCATCATACACATTTTGGTTTCCATTGAACAGTCAGTAGTAAATTGACCATAACTTTCTCAATAAAAATCCTATTGATGAGAGGTTTGAATCTTTAGAAAATAGACAGACAGAGTTTTAATTTGATATATTATATGCTTAATTTTGATAACTATAGCCCCACTACTCAACCATTAATTTTATTATCACATATATTTCGATTTCCACTGAACAGTCAGTAATAAATTGTCATAACTTGCTCAATAAAAATCTAATTAATGAGAGGTTTGAATATTTATAAACTAGACATACAAGGCTTTAATTTGATATGTATATGCTTAATTTGGATAACTGCAACCCTACTATCGAACCATTCCTTTTATTGTCAAAAACATTTCAGTTTCCTCTGTTTTTCGATTTCTCAATAAAAATCCAATTGATGAGCGATTTGAATATTTGGAAACTAGAAAGATAGAGCTTTAATTTGATATATTATACAATGAATTATGATAACTATAGACCTGCTGCCGAACCATTCATTTTATCATCACACACATAAAAAAAAAAAAAAAATTTAGTGATGACAAGGGAAAACAAATATTGATATGTAGTTTTAATTGTATTTGTTTTATATTTTTTATTGATTTTTAGATTAATTTTGTTGTTTGATTTGTGGGTTTTACAATTATCGTCTTTCTTTAGGATGCTATTATCAAATGCTTTTTTTACTATAGGTGGTGGTGAATTCTAATTGCAGCAAATAGATTTGTATCACAAGACCTTCATCTTCATGACTTCTTCAATGTTTCAATTAAGTTGCTTTCAGATTATACTGTTGGAGTTGTTGTTGCTTTCTATGCGAGTTCTCTTCTCAACATTCTTAATTTTTTTTTTAATTTCTAAAATAATTGTAATAAAAATTATTTATTTTCTCTTCTCAACAATCAAAATCAGTTTTTTTTCTTTGACTTTGTAGGTCTCTTGATTAAAAGTTCACATTTTTCAACAAGGTTTCTCTTTCTCTGATTAATTTATAGACTTATCAATAATATCCGGTGGGTTATCCTGAAATTTTTTTTGCTTTTCTTAACAAAGTTTTAAACTTTGGTTGCAGATTTCAAATGGTGACATATTTGAGAAGAACTATGATGATATAGACTTTGAGTTTAACTTGTAGATATTTTATTTATTGATTTTTTAATTATCAATTCATTATAAAATGAACTTTAATATAGAAAATATATATTTAAAACACAAAAAAACCAATAATAATGTAAAAAAAATACAATAAACATACTCGCGCAACGCAACTTGAAAATGAATATAAGTTACAGGAATTGTGAAATGTCAGTATAAATAGTTGATCTTGATAATATTCAAGAGATCTTAAATATCATACACGATTCACTACAAAATACTAACATCGAATATCAAAGACATGTCTACAAAAATAATATCAATTGTATAAAGTGATGATCCTGAAAATATAATTAAACTACAAAATATTCAGGTAATCTTCTCCAGTTGGATGAATGATTTAATAATATTTACCTATAATTGATATTAATAATTATACAAATACAATTATTAATTTTATCTTAATATAACTTTGTATATATGTAAACTTTATATTTACTTCAAAATTTGTATAATTTAATATTTATTTTGTTTGAACAAATTTGTTTGTAATTTATTTAAAATACATTGAATAAATATAACAGTGAAAGGCGCGGGCCATGTCTAGTTAAAGCGATGTTTGTGATGTATCAACATCACTTTCAGATGATCCAAACACTCTGTATCTTATTCTTAACCTCCAGTTACTTGAACCTGAAGCTCCAATCAACTCACATCTTCATCTGCGCAAGATGAGGATTCTACTCTGCAACGCCTCCTCTTCACTAGTCCCTCTCTCTCCATCCTCAACTCCAACTCACAAACCTCCACTCCTTCACGCCACCACTTCGGCCAGCAACTGCTGGCCGAATAAAGCACTAAAGGCTCTCTTCACCGGAGCTCTCTCGCTCAATCTTTTGCTCTCTTCACCGTCTTCACTCGCGATAGACTCTCCGTCTCTACAGTCAACCTCACCTTCACCTTCTGACGTTTCTTTAACTCAGTCTTGTCGCGAAGACGATGAGATAGAAGCGTTGGCTCAGAGTGAGTCTCAAGTGGTGACGAATGAAGGAATTGTGGAAGAGGCTTGGCAGATTGTTAATGATAGCTTTCTTGATACTGGACGCCATCGCTGGACTCCACAAAACTGGCAGGTAATATCAGGATTATGTAATAGTCTTTTCAGCGCTAGTGCTGTTTCTCATCGAATATAATTTTTAGAAACTTCAAATATAATTTAAAATCTTAACTTGTAATCTGAATTCAGCAAAAACGGGAGGATATTTTGGCTTCTTCAATTCAAACAAGATCAAAGGCGCATGATATGATTAAAAGAATGTTGGCCAGTTTGGGCGATCCGTATACTCGTTTTCTTTCGCCTGCTGAGGTAATAAAATAGAGTTTTTGAATGCATTTTGTTTTTTTAGTTTCAAGGTTTGAGTTTTATCTGTTTAGTGTTATATACTTGCTTTCACTACTGAGAGACCTTTCAGTGTCTTATTACATGGCATATGTCACTGTTGAAAGTTCTCCAAGATGGCGAGGTATGACATGTCTGGTATTGGGATAAACCTTAGGGAGATTCCTGATGATAATGGAGGTGTAAAATTGAAGGTACTGGGACTTATCTTGGATGGTCCAGCGCATGTTGCTGGAGTAAGACAGGTACTGGAATGAGCATCGCTTGATCGGTATTCAATTGTTTTTATGTTTTATTTTTGTCTGGTTCTTTTACATTTCAGGCAGAATACTAATTCAGTTATATTTAAAAACTTATATTTTCATTCCTGATATTTGTAGAAGGATTGATTTGGGTTCAAAATGGGAAAAAGTTAAAAAAAAAAACAATCTTACCAACATTGAAATATGGCAAGAAAAACTAATACTGCAACTGAACATCACAATTAACAAACTACTCCTTCGGAAAGAAGATTGCTGAACATATATTTGTATATTTGCCTATTTGATTATATAAGTGAACAAGATCAAGTCAAGTGCATCGATATTCGCCCTTACTTTTTGCTCAACTAATGACATCTTCAACTGCATAATTCTTTATTTTTTCTAACGGGTGGCCCTCTCACTTCTTCAATAGCATAAGTTGCTGCTATACATGTAGCTTGAACTGGAGGATTTTTATATTTATCTGCACCCCACTCCCTAATTGCATGTTGAAAATGGTGTATTTGGAGTTATTGGTTTGTGTTTTTTTACATGATATTTATTGTAAACTTTATTCTTCCTCTTGATAGGGTGATGAAGTCTTAGCTGTCAATGGAGTGGATGTTAGAGGAAAATCAGCTTTTGAAGTGTCATCTTTGTTACAAGGCCCCAATGAAACATTTGTAACAATTGAGGTTGTGATTCTAAACAAGCCGTATAATCAGGTTTTTCTATGTCCTGTTTTTGTTGTGTATCTTATTTAGTGATTGTTAAAATTGCTTTCTGCAAATTTCAGGTCAAGCATGGCAACTGTGGACCAATTCAATCCTTAGAAGTCCAAAGACAACTTGTTGCCAGAACCCCGGTCTTTTACCGGTTGGAACAAATAGACAATGGCTCTACTTCTGTTGGGTATATGCACCTAAGAGAGTTCAATGCTTTGGCTAGAAAAGATTTGGTCACAGGTAAATGTTCAAGTAATTAGACTAAATAATACAGTAATTATTGCAGTACATTGTAAAAACTATTTAAAGTCGTGAAAATCAAAATTAAAACTCTACTGCTTAGACACAATTTCATGGCTTGCATGCTTTATAATACCCTGCTGGGTGCTTCTTTTTATGAAAGTTGTTGAGCTAAATTTACAAGGTGTCCTGAAGTTTATGAAGGTTTTTTTTTTTTTTTT